TGTTTAACTTTTGCGAAGCTTGCAACGGCGTGAAACTACTTAATCGATCGATGAAAGACGTAAACAAGCGTCCAAACAGCTAATAACTTCTTGAATCCAAAACTCTCCTTTCCACCGCGAAAACTTAACGTACTAGCAAAATTTACGCTGTTTTTTACGCCGGTAAGGTGACCTTTGATACTAATGAGGCGACCCGAAGCAAAAAGAAGAAATTAACTTTCAGTTTGGCAGCCATGAGGTTCTGTGACTCTATGCTTCGTGCGACACCAGCCGACCCCGCTCAAACCTTTTTCCAGGCTGCGACTCAATACATTTTTGGCTGGAAAAATCATTTTGCTTTTCCACCAAAAGACTGCGCTTTGCTGCATGTCGATTTTCGTTCACGTTAAGATGAAATAACCGCGTTTAGATCAAACTCAGAAGCGATGCGTTTCTGAAATTCCTTTTCAAAATCCGTTTAAAGCGTGAAACCAACTTAATGCAGGCGTGCTCAGTCTATCAGCATGGAGTTAATATACCCTCTTGATTACCAAAAGTGCCCTCGTGATTAGGAAAAAATGCCCTCTGTCTCAGCCAATCAGTATTCAGTAATTTCGCCCTTTATGTGACAAGAGAGAATGAGTGTACTGTAGAACAAATAAACAGTAAAAATAAAAATGTCGACTGATATCGCGGTGTTCTACATCAAATAAATTCTGCACACATAGAGGAAGGAACAATCTCCGCCATGCTCCTGGTTACGTTCCGTCCCCAAGAGTCAGAGATAACTCTTAGAATGAAAATATACATTATATATTAACAGTCTTTTTTAGAAGTCAATAATCTGTGAGAAAAAAAAAAAGAAAAAACAAGAAAAGAAAAATCCTGTTGTTTTGCACTTGAATCAGGCCACAACAGCTGGGAATTAAGAGGATTTATTTTTACACTCCCTCTGTCTAGAAGTATATAGTCTAACTGAAAGAGACAAATTACAATTACTTTGAGGCTCTGTGCCGTAATTGTCGTAATTGTCCTTGATCTAATACAAACTGAAAATATGTTATAATTCTACTTACAATTCTTGTAATCCTCTCCCGTCCGTAAACCTTGCGTTTAGGTTATGATTCTTTCTCTGTACGAATTTAGCGTCTCTTAACGAAATAGCGTCCCCTCTGCGAGATTCGAACCGCGTGATCCCTTTTATAGTAGTATGTCCCTAGGGACCTTACATACTCACGCAAGGACTTAAGATAACTTTGTTTTCGTACAAAACACCTGTGACCTCAAATATTGAAAAATGTTTCAGTTTCAGGTCGATTTATTTTGAAATTGTTAATCACGATATGTTGCTATCTCTTATTACACTTCCCAAAATGAGGCAAAATAGAAATAACTACATGTACAGAATGTAACTGAAACTAAGCTTCAGGAAATTGCAATGAGGCTGAAATGCAGCAGGCTGAAAAAACCCAAGCACTGTTTCAAATATCACTAGAAACTTGAAAAAGCCAAGCTGTAAACAGGCTCCTGGTGAGAATGAACAACAGCATCAAGTTCGCGACAAATTGTTTTGCGTTAGGTGTAAGCGACGACTGAATTTCTTCATCGAAATTTTTAAAAACATAACAAACTGCAAAAAGAGCTTGGAGCAGAGAACCTCGTGTAGATCCGATCACTGATTATCTGTCGAAATTGTTACCTCCGTGGAGAATGCCAATGAGTAACCCCGGATTATTTCGTTAAACGACGAAAAGTATCAACAGAACCATTTTTGGGAGCATACAGATAAGGCGAAAACAGCAACTGATTTTGTGCAAAAAGAACTTTGAGCAGAGAACCTTGCGAAAAATGCATTGTCTATCCATAACCTAAGCAACTCGTTGTTTGAAAATGCGCGAAAGAATAGCCACGCGACGTAACAACATTGCGTTTATCAACTTTTTTCGGAGTGGATTCTACCTGACCTTCTTATCAGTAATACAACGGAACAAAGACTGCAGTTTTTACAGACTGTAAGTTTTTATACTCTTTAGAAAAGGAAACGAAATTAGAAAGAGTTTGTCTCTATCCGCTTTAAAATGGCAAGAAAAGTCACTGTCAGTAAATTCAAACGAGTGTTACATTTGTGAGAGTTGTTTGGTTGTTTTAATTTTAGCTCGGCTCTGTAATGGCGCGTGGTCTTATGTTTCTCTCGACCTACAATTTTCACTAAAAACTGAGTGAATTTCATTCGAGTCCACCACCTCTTTGATCGTATCGTTGGTGTATTTAAGACAATTTCTTTGGAATACACTTAACGAATTCCCTCTCTTTCTGCTGGTTAATTTATGATCGGAGTATAAAACCCTGATTTTAAAAGATTCGCACCGCTGACAGAAATTATTTTTGTAGTGCAACTCCAAACTTAACACAAAATTTCACACCGGAAAAACAATTTTGTAGAACTTAAGCGGGGAACTAAATGCAATAAATATTAATTTGTAAGAAATGTATCTGTTCTTTTATACATACTTTTGTGTCTAGTATATTAAATTTGTTAATATGAGATGTGAATTTCAAATACATCGCGTGGTTTGTGAAAGCATTATCATACTTTCTACTGCTAAAAAGCCTTGATATGTAAATACATTTAAGCACCAGAGCACTATTTCCGTGTTTACATAGCCTCATCTAAGCATGAGGGAGGTTCGGAGAATTCGAGACAGTTATGCAAACCCGAGACGTAGTGGCTGTCGAGAATTCTCCTAACCCCCAAAGTGTTTAGATGAGGCTATGTAAACAAGGAAAAAGTGCTCTCTTGCTTTTATGAAATAATCTCAAGAATAGGCGCGAACCTAAAACATCACAACCATGTTCACATACTCTCATCTTAACACACCTATCGACCAATGAGAGCGCGCGCAGTAGCTCAGCTGTTGTTTAATATGGCCGGGTTTTCCAAAGCCTGATTCAGCTAACCTTTTAGCGCGAATTTTGATTTCAAAATAACTTTATACACTTTTTACTGAGGTTTTATAGTTGCTTTATTCTATTCTCCAGTTCTGAAGTACAGCGATCCCAGACCCCAAAAAACTTTACAGTAATACGTTTATGCAACAGAAATCAATCGACCACTGTTACTCAGCACTTATTGTGCCATTGTCTTTACTAACATATCTTTGGCGACGACGTCCGCTGCTACTTGTAATTGATGGCATAATTGCAGCAACCTGAAATATAATCCATGCATGTTAAACAATTCTCTGTTTTCTCAATAATTGATCACTTGTCTCTTTTGTTTTGACCGTAATGTGTTAATGTACATAAGTGTCAAAACTGAAACATCTCATCAGAGATAAAACGGAGGTATGGTGTCTATGTACCGAGAAATTCTCATATCGTGCATCGACGGCAGTTGCAGCAGCAGATATATCATGTAGAAGGAAGGCTGTTGAAGATGCCGGTATGTGTGATTCTTGCTTCGCTCCGATCGTGTAATGTAGTTATGCAAAAGCAATTAAGCTTAAGTTTCGTCCTTCAAGCAAAAACCGGTCTGTGTTTCATGACATGCGGAGTAGGAAAGCAATATGGCGACTGTTGAGTATAATAGTGTGTGCGGTGGTTCTTACTTCTCTTCAGCAAAGTTATGTAGAAGGTGGAGAACGAAGTCTATGATCTTGAATTTGAACAGGGGAGTGAAACGAAAATCAGCGTTTAAGAGGTAATGCACTGCCATCTGCATTATAAACCGCTCCATTCTGTTTGCTCGAATGGTATTTGAAAGGTATGAATGATCTTAACGCAAAATATGCTCCTTATCATTGTCAGCCGCATTGGTGGGAAGTTGGAGCGCAGTCAGCTGGGAATGAACACGTCGCTTGCGCTCAGCAATTTTATTCGGCAAATAAAATGCGACGTTTAAATCAAATCAGCCGAACTTATTCATTCGAGTCGACTAAAATTAGTATTTGATTCGGCGCATGTAAAATGCGGCGTTTAATCCGTGCCTAAGGAGAATTAATTTTTCCAGTTTGGGACAAAAGGAGGTTAACATGAGTGGCGTTCACGTTATTTTTGTCAGAAACCTTTGCATAAAAGCTAATGTTAATTACCATTTACACAACAACATTGCCTCGCTTGTGTTCATTAAGCACCAACTTTTTCATGTTAGTGCATCAATGCTTCTATCAGAAAGTCACTTTTCTCACTTTCTGTAATAAAAGTGGGATTCCCTTTCGAGACTTTTACCTGGTTAAGTTTGCTTCGATTCAAGATTATCCGTGTGAAAAAAGTACAAATTGAGCACAAGCCAAATCACCACTTTTGATTAAAACCTGTCTATATCTTGATCAAATGTATTCAAAAACCTCGCTCAGTGGAGAATCGAGAGATAGCACCCCTTTCTTATCCACTTCACCCAACCCTCGCTAATTTTTAACTTCTTTTCTAATTTCGCCACTGATTTGATGGATCTAGCGCTTGCTATCGCGATTTTATAGCATTAAAATGATCGATCGGATTGTGTAAATAAAATAAACACAGACAGTTTACTTTTATCGCCTACAAATAAAGCCTTGTGAATAATACAACCTCACATTTTGTGGTCTTTTGATTCATACGAAACCAACAATAAATCATACCAAATTACGGGCCTATTATCCTTTCAGTTTTAAAACTTTTTTATTCCCCTGAAAAGAGAGAAAAACAAATCTGTTCAAAGAGGCTACCTCTGCGTGAATTAGTCACTAGAAGTTCAAAATAAACCAAGAAACTGCTTTGATTGGTCGATATGGCTGCAAGCAAGAAAATATTCGCGTACTGTTGACAATAACACCTTCAGCATAAGGTGGCACAGTCATCAGAAGTTTTAATATACAGAACTCAGTCAGACCGACAACGTACGTTTTCAGTGATCTATCACGAACTCCCAAAATGCGCGTGTTATTTGCAGCTTGTTTGAGCACCAACCTGCTCGTACTCATGGCCGTTATATCATCCGCCGGCGAAGGGCGCCAAATCTTTGTCTCTTGGTAAGGGCATCAAAACACCAAAGCATCAGGCAAAACTCTACGCCGACAAAATGATGGTGTGTAACCTGATTCAGGATTCGCATGTTAACGAAGCTATTACCAAGTTGGAAGCGAAACTTGAAACTCTGATTGCGTTAGTCAACAAAACCAGTGACAAAACTCATATTCCACAACGACCGCAACCAACACCAGGTGACTCGATCGTTAAATTGTTTTGATAATTTTTAACAGACTCGGAGCCCTGTGTATTTTTTACCTAGCCAGCGCTTTTTAAACCGGTTAACATCTGACAGAAGTTTAATCCTTTTTTACAGCCGCTCCCGTGTTTTCTTGTAAGGAACAGTATGACAAACACAAGTAAGTTCACTGTTAGTAAATTACGTCTTAATAATTTACAATCGTTCAGTCCCTACAGCACTTTTCATGATGCAGCCCTTGGAAAGCGTTTGGTCGAAGAGAGCAAAGCTCTAGGCGGATCCGCATGCTTCATTTTATAAACTCTCCTGGGCACAGGAAGAGAGAAAATTTTTACAAGCGATTCAGTCGACGAAGAAATCAATAACAGAAATCAGTCCTAGCGGTTTATTCCTCTTGCTTTTTAATACTGTTTTAACTCAGCCCTTAATGTTTGTCCAATGATACTATACTCTAGTACGTACAACACAGAATTTGTTTGGAGTTCTTCTCTTTCAGTTGCAACCTATGCACTGCACTGTTGTTTTGAACAGCAGCAAACGAAACTACTCACCAGCCAGAGTGTTACTGTAAATGCTGGAGCTCGAGTAGAAGTACATGGCGAACTGAGCGAGAAAGTCCTCTGATCGTGCGTTAATGATTTAAGGATTGGCCTCAACTTCCAACATTCTCTTCTTTATCCCCTCTATCATCAGGTCGACAAAGAGTCAAGTGATTCCACTGATGTTTAGTTCCCAGAAGGTTCCTGTGTACTGTCACATGGGAAACTTTGGATGTGGAGATGGAGGATGGACGCTGGCCATGAAGATCGATGGCAACAAGGTACAAATCACTTCACAACATGGTTTTAAATTACAAGCACTGTGGAAATTTATCGAATTTAAATCTTATGTTTTATCTTTTATTTCAGAAAACATTTCATTACAATTCTCACTTTTGGAGCGACAGAAATGGCTATAATCTTGCAGGAGGAAGGACTGGGTTTGATTTCCAAGAAACCAAGTTACCGACCTACTGGAACACACCCTTCTCCAAGATCTGCCTCGGTATGAAGATCGGCCATCAGATCAACTTCATTGTCATCAACAAGCAGGCCAACTCTCTGTACTCACTGATCGCTGACGGCAAATACCGCGCCACCTCACTGGGCCGTAATACGTGGAAGACGTTGGTTGGTTCACAGGCCTCCTTGCAGCTTAACTGTAACAAGGAAGGCTTCAATGCTGTGGTTTTGACCACAAATTCTGAAACAAGAATTGGCATCATTGGCAATGAGCAAAATGACTGCAACAGCTGTGATTCCAGAATCGGATTTGTTACAGGCGGGTATCCTGATGACTCCAACACGTGAGGAAACGGGGCAAAACACTCAGCAGATAATGGAGACAAACACATCAAATCCATGGGATACATTTTGGTGCTGTGAGAAGAACTTTTCCTCGCCTTTAAGGCCATTCAAAGCAAAACAAAAGTATCTCCTGACAGAAAAGCTCTTAAGTCATCTTAACTGCTTAGTAAAGCCCTTCGATTTTTGTCAACAGATTTTAAAATAAAAAGAGTGTTGTAAAACAAACAAAAAAGTTGGTGGTGGGAATAAATGTTTCTGTCTTATTTTATTGTGTTTTATATCAGGTTTTTACTGAATATTACTCATCTGCAATTAACAATTAGCTGGACTCTACACAGAAGTATCGATAGCAATGCCGCGAATGAACAGTTCAAGTCCGACCAGTTTTTCTAATTACCTGCGATTACCTGCGATTACCTGCGATTACCTGCGATTACCTGCGATTAAGAAGGAAAATTTCCGCACATCTTGGACGAATTATTCTGAAACCTTTCTTTACAATATAACGCTGAAGATTTTTAGCAAATTACAACAACCAGTTTGTCAGTAAACTGCATCCATTTTAAGGAATTAATGATTAAATGTACTCAAATTTCAATGATTCAGAATATTTCAATATGGCTGAGACATAGCAACGGCAAAAAAGGCAAGAATATTTCTGTGAGTCTCTTTCCGAAGAAAAAAATGGCTTAAAACAAATAGATTTAACTTTTACGGCATTTGTGCCTTGAGAAAATTATTTCCGTGTTTCTTGAGTGAATGGATTGTGCTGAGTACAAATGACTATAGGTTGAACTAGAAAATTAAAAATACACTCT